GCCCGGACCTTGCGGAAATCCCGGAGAACTCACCACAGAGTTAAGGATCGAGATAAGCAGAGTATAGTCAAGAAAGTAGGAGTTTAGGGAGTTTGGCCCCCACGAGCTTAGTCGGCATCGAGAGCCGCGAGCCCTCTTGCAGCGTGCGGTGATCAGGGGGGCGGGGTCAGGTATGTAGTAGTACATGGAGAAAGGGAAATCGACCGTAGAATAGAAATAGAAATAGAGATAGAGAGAAGGGGGAAAATGGGGGAGGGGAGACGGGGAGTGATGACGGGGTAGTGCAGTACAGCGCGGGGTGCGGCGCGGGGTCAGGTGGGTGTGCCCTGACAGGGGTAGGAGAGTGAATATCGGAGTGGATGGTGAAAGAGGGCTCACAGCTCTCTATGCCGACTAAACTCATGGGGGCCAAACTCCCAAAACTCTACTTTCTCCACTAAACTTCACTACACTCTCGATCCTTAACTCCGGTGTGGGTTCTCTGGGATTCTGCAAGGTCCGGGCTCAACTAATCTACTACCCACTCGTTGTGGGCTAGTGTCAGGGACGCGTCCGGGGTAGAGGAGGCCCGGGTGAGACGCCCAACACTAGAAGTCTCGTGGGGTGCAGAGCGGGCGTGCGTACTGGCAGGCCCGGCTCAGGAGACAGTCCCTGGCCACTTAGACTGAAGTGGAAAAGGGTGTTATTATTATTAAAAGGGAATACTATGTTACTTACCTGAAGTGGAAAAGGGTGAGAAGAAGGCTACTTCTTCGGTTCCCACTTCAGGTATGTTTATATACATGCGGCTTAGGTCACATGACAGGTGCCACATCATCCTCGCATACAGCCGTAGTCACCTGGGTGTCCCCGTGGGGGATCCCGAGGGCATCCGCTGTGAACGCGTGAGCTGGACATAGCGGGGGTCGCCCAAGGTGCCTGGGCTAGGCATGTCGTGAGCGCGCTGCGGGTGGGTCAATGGTACATTGATACAAGGAAAGGTCGTCCATGTAGAATAAAGAGAAAATAAAGAGAAAGTGAAATAAATGAAGAGGGAGTGGAATGGAGAAAGAAAGAAAGAGGAAGGGGGGAGGAGGTAAGAGAAGACTGGGTGGTGGGGTACCGGGTGAAGTGGGGCTGGGTGGGGCTGGGTCAGGCAGATGTGCCCTGACAGCTAGACAGTTTCCCTTATTCCTACTGTTGGATTCCTAGCACTCACTCCAACTCTAGCGCATCCTAGCACCTTAGAGAAATTGGGGGAGGGGAGAACTTCTATTCCAGAATCTGGTATGTACAGGATATAAGGAACAATTATTTTTAGAATAATTGATGGGAAATATTGGTACCATATGGCACCTGCATACCTTATTAGGCGAAATAATAAAAAAGGGGTAACAGTAACAATAAAAGAATATCTGAAATGATGGCAAAAAGGAAATAAGCGATTTCTCAATGGATTTATGGAATTAAGAGCCGAAATTGGAAATGTAGCCGGAGATAACTCTCACGCAGCCTATAAGCATTTTTACCAATTTATTAGACGCCGTGGGAATGAGTGAGGCTGGAATTCTGGGTTGCTGCTTGAGATTCCCACGCTCACACATGCCCGTGCCTAACTTGCCCAACATAGAACTCCGTCAATTCTCCACTGATTGGGACGTTTTTGGTATCGTTGGGATCGTACGAATTAGCACTATTTCTGGATACCAAATTTGTACTGAGTCATCGCTTGAATGAAAAGGGGTTTTCTGAATGTTGGAAGTGGGTATCTGAGCCGGCTCTGTGCATGGGTGATTATCCTGCCTACAATGGCAGTAGGGTAGGACTCCAGGGGTGGTGAAGATGGGGGTCTGGGAGTCAGATCAGGATCAGGTATGTACGGATATGACAACATTCCTCCTTGTATCTCTCCTTCTTAACACCCAGGATTGTCCATGGACCCACCCATGAAGGCTCAGCCCCATCCAAGGATGACATGGCACCTCCATGTGACCTGATCCTGCCTGTATATAAACTGAGCCAAAGCAGAATCAAAGAAGCAGCCTTCTTCTCACTTCTGCTTCAGGCAAGTAGTTTAGCCCAGTCTAGCTTTTCACTTCAATGACAATCCACTTCCACTTCAGCCTAAGAAGCCGCATAGGGACACTAGCCCAAGTGAGGGCAGCTCATGATACACTCCTGCCACCCCACTGCCACCTGGGCCGCTAGCGCTGGGCACCATGCCACTGCCACAGCCCCTTCTGAGCCATCCCTGACAATATGACATGGAGCAACCCTGTTAGATACGGCAGATTCAGATGACTCTGGAGTGGAATCAGAGACTTAGCGTGGAAGGACCTTGGCCTCAGTGACTCAGGTGGAGCGCTGTGCCATTGCTAGTTGTCCTAGGGATCCCTAATTTCGGATCTAGCAGAGGGGAAGTCTCTTGGGGGGAAATCAAGTCAATTTTGGACTGAGGTTACAAGTTACTATGTGCATTGTATATAAGGAGGGGTCCGGAATCAAAAGGAGCAAGGGTACTCCGAAAGGAGACAAAGGGAGCTGGAATGAGGAACAACACTGAGGGTCAAGGGTTTGACTCAATGGTGTTTCCCAAAGGAGGAGTGAAGGGCCAAGGCCCGAGGAGGAAGGAAGGAGGATGGGAGTGGGGAATGGCTGACTGACTGAATAGAAAGGAAGCAGCAGCCCAAATAGGAATGAGGGAGAATAGCAGAATTGAATGGAGCAATGCAATAGTTGCAAGGTCCGACATAAGTCTGGAAAGTCCGAACTCGGAAGTTAAACTCCGGAATATTGGCAAACGTAATTAAATGGAATGAGCTAACCAATACAATGGGTATAAGCAGAGGTGGGGTCAAAGTCCGAGGTCGGAGCTAAGACTGGAGGTTCTGGAGACAGAGACGCAAACAGGATTCTGGAGCGGAGGTCCAGAGTCGGGAGCATAGGTGTTGTGTACTCGTCTGGAAGGTGTCAAGGATGAGGTCGGACCCGGAATGTTCTGGAGTCGGACCGAAGGTGGTGTCAGAGCTGGAGGTGGGATAACCTCTTGGAAGTCAGCAAGGAGAAGGTGATGGAAGGGAAGTAGGACTCTGGAGTTAGTTTTGGAGTTCTGGGAGCCCAGAGTGGAGGTCAGGATTGTATGGATATGACAGTGCCCTGGATAGGGCTGGTTAGATTTGAGGCTGTGGGCCATAGGGGAGGGTCATGGGGACCTGGGAGTCATCCCCTGACAGTAACTGGAAGTTGCCACTTAGCCACATAGCCACATGACTCTAAGTACACTGTTGTTACATCAGACTTGGGGTTCAGGGCTATTGCCCTCACACTAGGCCCTTTCAAGATCATCGAAGTTGTCTCCCTGGCTGCTGTCAAACTTGTCATATCCATCCACAGCCATCATCCTTCACTACCTCCAGTCCCTCCGGACTACCTCCACTCCTTCTTCACTAACCTCGGAGCTCCCGTATTCTGCAATCACCTTCACTCCCCTCAATGGTCACCACCCCCTCTTTTCAATATATTACCTACACCTCCCTAAGTACAGAGTCCTGAAGGCTTCCAGACAGCTCCGACGTCCGCTAGTGCACTCCTGCCTCTGCTGGGCAATTCACTCACTTGCCCTGCAAGCCCACCTTCGGGCCTATCCCTCCTTTCCGTTTCTGGGTTATAGCCTACCATTCCACTAACCCTGTAACCCAACTTGTCGGTAATATTCAATCAGCTAATGTTTAACTCCGTTAGCTCCGCTCTGCTTGGCCCCACCATTTACAGGCCCACCCTCACTGTAACTATATATACTCAACTTGTACATAGGTTACACCTCAGTAATAAAATCGACTAGAGTTGATCCCCCTTAGTTCTCATTGCCAGTAAGTAAATTAGGGCACAGATGTGTAACTTGGCACAGCACTCCTGCTTGAGTCGCTGAGGCTGAAGCCCTCTGCCATGGAGACAATCCTTCATCTCAATCCAGTCTCTGACAAAACTCCAACACACCACATGACAGAAGGGAGTCCACCCAGTTGTGTCTGTGACGAACATTAGGCCGCACCGCCCAGATGAAATTGCAGAATGACCCGCTGACCCCTGCCCAGGCCCAGACCTTGTAGATGGAGAAGAGGGGTATGAAGTTGAGAAAATACTGGACTCCAAGTGGTTGCACTGGAAGCTCTGGTACCTGGTAAAGTTTGCTGGCTGGCTGAACTCAGAAAACAAGTGGCTCCCCTGTGATCAACTAGCCCACACCCCTGACTGGATTGAGGAGTTTCACCAGATGCACCCTCATGCCCCAGGGCACTTGGAAAGATGAGAAGAAGGTTGCTTCTCCAGTTCCCACTTCAGCTGTGTTTATATACATGTACCCAGGGTCATGTGGGAAGTGCCACATCACCCTTGCACACAGCTGCAGCCATCTGGGTGTCTCCATGGGAGGTCCCAAGGGCATCTGCTGCAGGTGTGTAATGGGTGTACACCTGGGTTGTCAGTGCACCCAGGACTAGGTGCATTGTGCACACTGCAGGTTAATAGTACATTGATACAAGGAAAGTTGTCCATGTGATAGAAAGAGAGAACAAAAGAAAAGGAAGAAATAGTGAAGAAAAGGAAGAAGGGAGAAAGGGGGGAAGAAGGGAAGGGGGGTGGGGCACCAGGTGGAGCCAGGTGGGGCAGGTGTGCCCTGACATCACCCCCTCCTTAAGCTGCTTTGCCTTGAAGCAGCCAGGGGGTTTTCCCTCTCTCTCCCTCATGGGTTGGGTTGATGACCACATGCACTCACATTGAAATTGCATTGCCCAACTTATGTACAACTCATAGTTCAGGCAATTCAATCCAACACAATTCAGTAGCCAATCCACAAATATCTGTGTTATTATCGAGGACAAAAAACTCAAGTTAAACAAACAACAACATATTGCACCAGTTGCTTACACAGTTTCACCACACCAAAAAATTCAGATATACTTCAGCAAAACTCATGTGAGCAACTGGCACTGAGTCTGCTCAATATCTTGACAAAATGTGTGGATGAAAGTGACTTTGCAAGTACCATTCATTTACCAGCCTGAACCACACATTGTCCCCCACATATCCTCCAGTCCAATTTCCAGTGCAAATTGAGACACCACTAGCATCAAGGTATTAGTGGGTGCCTGTTGATGGAATGCTTTCTGGTCCTTATCCTTTGGGATGACATACACAAGCTTCCATTGCCACACCCCCCCATGTTGTTCCTGCAGCACATTCCAAAGGTCAGTGATGAATTTCCCCTTGACTGAGTGTTGTGGAGAGATTATATACTGAAACATGACAACACTGGTGATAGTGTGGTTCTCATCCCTTTCAAAAGCGAACAAGTCGATGCCAGTGAGGTTGCCAAAAACCGGTCGGTAGTACTTGGCTGCATCCGGACAATGGACCTTATCAAATGGAACACCAGAGAATACTTCCATGTTCTCACGGTTGATATGTTCCAAATGCAATTGTTGTTCACTGCCATCTTCAAGTGCTCGCACACGAAGGGCATTTTCAGTATTTTTGACGACATAGACATGCGCAATGGCTTCGAACATCAGACCAGCTGTGGAGGCTGTAGAGGGCTCCTTCATGCAACTGTAGAAGTCCTTGGCTGAACTATCGACCAATTCCCATCCCTTCTTTTTCATGAGTTTTGCGAAAATAAAGGGGGAAATGATCCGTGTGCGTGATTCCGATCGGTCCAAGACACCACCAAGCTCGTCCTGGAGCGGATTGATTTCTACCAGACAATGGCTGTATTTCTCGGGTTCATGTACCACCGCTTGCTGGAAGAGACCGGTCGGAGAGCATCCTAGGATAGCTGAGTCAAGGTCGCGATCTACCTGCCGCTGCGTACGATCAAGTAAAGCCCTTGCCGAACCCCCGTACTTCATGAACGCAATATGCCAAGCTTCATCATCCCTCTTTTCCTTGGCATTATCGCTGGGAGAGATCAGTACTAGGCCTCCCTATCTATGCAACCGACGAGTCACGACTCACCGACAGACATACACTTCTTGCCAACTCCATGTTCTCATGTAGAACACGTTCACGTCATTTTCCTCTATCCATCCACGTACCTCTTGTGGCTTGGGCGACGATGCTACCAAGACTCTCCATCGCTGAAAGGAAGTGTCGACCTTTTCATTCGAACTTAGATCGAAGAGAACAAGGCCATCCAAATCTCGTCCTTCAGCCACGGAGAGCTCGGGATCATCCCAAAGATGGAAGGAATTGTCTGGAATCAGGTAAACGCCAGAACTGAGGAAGGCGAAACGTATCGAATGCGACCTAGAAAACACGGTGGGCTTTCCTTGTGCGAGCCGATTCACGAGACAGTACGTCAAGTAGACGGTCTTGCCTTTAGGAGCGAAATCAGTCGCATTGCGCAACGGCAATCCATCACGAACCCGCATACCTATTCCAGGTTGTCCAATAAGCAAAATTGGTCTGCGGCGATAACGCTCAGTGACGTCTGATTGTCTCTGCTCCTCCACGAATCCATCGAGTTTATAGTATTCATCCCGCACATAAAACCTCATGTCGAGCACCTCGGATATACCCCACTGCACCCCCGGGATCTTCATTAGGTCGTAAAACAATGCCTCAGTAGTCGCGACGTCCTCTGTCTCAGATTCTTGGAATTCGGAAAGGTTGGGCACGTGGGTTGAGGAGTGAGTGATGAGTTGAGGCAAATAATCCACATTTTTCCAGAGACGGTTGCGAATGACAGCCAAACTACCATAGCGTGAATTTGCTTCAGTGACAAGAGAAACTGTTGGTGAGTATCGCGAAGAAAGTCAATACAAAGAGGAGCTCAATAAGTATATGCACTGCGTACCTGGATTGGCGGGCTGGTTGAGAAGGTCTACAGAAAAATTGGAAAGATTAGTCGGGGGTGCCAATAGCTGAGTTGAACTCACGAAGCGATACAACTCACAAGGCTGTACTTTGACTACCACATGGACCCGGCCCTTACTTGAGTCTTGTCCAAAAACGTCGTCTATTTCATCATCATCATCGGGAGGATCCCTCGCAGCTATGCTGGCCTTCGCTCTATCAATAAGCTCTCCAACGCCGCGTTTCGTCAAATTATCAGGCTTCCTTGGATGAGCACAAGCATTCTTCAGACAAAAGGGCCCACCTACTTACCCTGTACAAGACAAGTTCGCCGCGATCGTAATTGTGCAGCACCTGGTGCTCCCGATGAACCGCAACACGGAGTTGCGCCACAACTTCAACACCTTCGAGATCCAGAGAGAAAGGTCCAATAGGGAGGTTGACGGGATAGATGACGAAGTATGTTAGACGTTTCAGAGGTCGCGGCGCGGTTGACTCGACCACAGAAGTCGATTGGGTGCGAGGACGTTTCTGAGGTCGCGACATGGTTGGTCAGGGTTGGTCGCGAGACGCCATTCGGTTCGGCCAGTGCCGCAGCCTAGGATGTGGGCCTCTTAGGACACTGCCATTGAAAACCCGCTTTCCTTTCTTGAGGATATATTTTTCCAAGCTTTCCTCATGCATGTACGCCAGCGCACGGTTGGAACTCCGCTCGCAGGGGTTACATTTTTGGTCTTGTCGTGGTCTAAGATGGCTTCCTGAGAGTCATTAAGTTCTATATCATTTTTTTTTTGGATACGGACGACTCACGAGGGGACAACAATATCCTTGATCGTTTGTCAACGATGCGGCTCAGAAAAGTGCAACAGCGATTACCCTTCGGGACCGCCCGTAAAAAAAAATGCACCTCATTCTCAAACACTTTTTAAAGCTTGCTCTGAATATCTACATGCCAGGAATACTTTAGTAAGTAGTTTCCGCCCTGCACGATCTGCACTTTCTCCACCACTTTGCTCACAAGACTCACTTCGGGTTCGCCATAGTTCCTCCGACATCCCTTCAACAAGATAGATATTGCATCAAATCTCAGGGTTGTGAGTGGCGAAGGTGATACACCTCAACCCCATCAACCACTTCCACCCCAAGGTAGGCGGTGATTGCCGAATTCGAAACCCGCCAGATCTTTTCAATTCAAGCATGTCGGCGGACTGAGCGACGCCTCAAATGGTCTGCCCGAAAACCTCACGTTCAACCCATCGCATCATTAGTAATCCCCCGTTACACATTCAGCAACCGGCACAAACCGAACTTCGACCTTCCTTCCTTCGCCACTTCAACCCTGGAGTATCGTTAAGGCTGCTCAGGCGGGTGCTTCTGTTCTCATGTTAGGGGCCTACGATAAAGACCATGATCGTATGGGATGCTTCTCTGCTTATGTTCCCCAGTCTTCTTTGGAATTACATCGCTTCCTCCCGTGAGTTCACATTCGAGCGGTGATATCAAGTTCTTTGTTATATCCCCTTCTAAAATCGCTCAAGTAACCAAGTGCGGTCACCCAGAGATTGGCGCCCATTCCCCATTCGTCTGATCCGCATACTCAAACTGTCGTAATAACCGCACCTAACAGCACCAGGATAAATGCTCCGATAAGAGCTTCATCAAATCCCTCGCAGCACCCTGCAACAGTATACAGTCAATCGTATTCATAGTATTGATACTGCAACAACTTTTTTCGGGGGAGGGTGGGGTCCCAAACTCCTATCGCACGGGTTTGCTGTCCCCATGTGGTGATTAACCAACATTTCATCCGGCCAGTTCTGTCGGGCCCCGTCCTCGCTGTCCGCCACTTCATCATCCCTGAGCAAGGGAGCCACCAATCTGTCAAACTGCCACTGCAAACGGCGTTCCTGATGATCCCCAATCGTACCCCTACTTTTGTTCGGCAACTGGTAATAGTATATGTATGATAGTTACTCGGTTCCCTCTACGTATGAGTACACGGGAAGTCGCGAAGACCACCCCGACACAATTAAACCTGCCAAGGGCCCTTTTTCATCAAATTCCCATTGTGAGTAAGCCAATCACGCCATCAGCAGCTGGATGTATGACTAACGTCGAACCTGCTTTTTTTCTAGCACGTCATGAGCCGTACGTGTCCATGCGCGCATCAAACATCGAATCGAATTCCATGATTGTGCTATTTTGGAGAGACGACACAAGCACACACACACACAAAACAAATGATCCGACGTGGTGAGAAAGATAGCTCTCGACGAGAGAACCCATCATCCAAATCATATTTGATTTAGTCAAAAGTCGCGGGAGGGGGTTCTTCGTACGATAACCGGTATAGAAAGAATACCAGAATGCTTAAGTGCAAAAGATGTCGGGTGAGTGTTGCCACTTGTGGATCCACGCATGACCCGCCTCTTATATTGAAGATAACACAGCTTGCCCATTACCAAGTTCCGCAGCGACTACAAGCGAAGACCCAATCATCGCTCGCTGTTCGCATCCGCAGGGGAGGGGGGGGACATCTATATGTTCATTGGTACCCATGCCATTCCGAGAAAGGGGAGAACATGTCAGCTACAACCTAGCCCCCCGCGCCGCGCCGCGCAAGGATGCCTAATAACATCATCATCATATCTCACAAAGCATGACACGTCGACAGGGGACGGAAGAGGATCTGCCATCATCTTCCTTGCCAACCCATGCGCGTGGCCGAATCCTACATGGCGAGAATTGAAAAGCAGTGAAACAACGATGGAGGGCATATTCCTATATATATATCACACTGTTCGCCAGCGCAGCTAGCATTCGACGTGGGGGTTGTTCGAAAAAAGCTGAACTCCAGCTTTTTTTTCATATACATTACTTATACTGCTCCCCACACTCTGGGATAATTAATCTCAAGCGATTGGCTTCGCGTGCGTTGCGCGCGCCCGCGCGCCTAAACACCAAATCGATCGGCATACCCAAAAAAACAGAATAACAAATGCATGCGGTAATCAATCGGAATCAGTACAACGTAAGTCAACTGACGTGGCTGCAACGTACGTAGTATAATATGTTTTACACAGCTATGTGTCTCAGATCGAAAAGACCCAGATGGGTTGGGTACGGACGCGATAGTATGATTATACACTCGCCTCTAGTATGTATATGGGAATGTTCGCTCGTTCTGTCGCTTTGGTTCACAGGAGGTAACTGTGTGGATGCATGTACTTACGTACTAGCCCCCACCCCAACCGTCCATTGTGTACTCATGAATGGCGCCGCAAGCCGCCCAGGATAAAATAAATCCTTACAAAATCAAAATCAAATAAACTACCCAGGCAGTCGTTGAATATTCTTTGAAACCGTCCGACTAGCTGGATCGACAATTACTTTGCGAAGTTTCATGAACTTCATCAATCATTGTTCATCGTTGCAGGGGCCATGTATTGTGATGTTCATCAGGCGCCGGCATGTATATGGAAATGTTTTAATTTGGATGTAGTTAACTTTCGACATGACATGCACGGGTGCATTTGGTACCAAGGTTAAAAGAGGGGGGGTGAGGGGCTGGGAAAAAGCTGGCTAGGCAGCAGCGGGGTGGATTGGCTCTACACAGGTGTAAACTAAACAACTAAGAAAAAAATGACTGTTAACTGAAATGCAACGAAAAACATGTATGTAGGATACGACGAAAATGAAACAAATGGTTGAACGATTATGATAACGCACAAAGAACTGTTCAAGGATATTGTTAAGCATTTGCATTATGGAGGGTGGAGGGGGGGGGTGGAGGATGGTGTGAAGCGAATGCAGATATGATGATGATATGTAAGAAAAAAAAAAAAAACGGGAGAAAGGCGAAAGGCGAAGCAAAAAGAAAAAGTTGAATTAAAATTGGGAATGGAATGAAAAATGAATGGTATGTTGGATTGTTGCAATGTTTGGCGTTCGTGAAAGGAAGAGAGAAAGAGTAAAAGAGTAAAAGAGTAAAGAGAGCGATCACAAATCAATTCGATACAACTTGTTTACGTGTTGGGGTTTGAGTGAAGTGAGTGGGGCTTGAAACGAGAGAAAGAAAGAGAGAAAGACAGACAGACAGACAGACAGACAGAGACGCAAGTCATGATACGTTAGCACTTCGTCCTAATAGTATTGATGATAGTTTAGTAGTGTGGTGGGAATTGGGAATTTGGGAAGGAAAGGGGGGGGTGTAAAAAAAAAAAAAAAAAGATGTCTATTTTTTTTTTGGCTCCAGTGGGAGAAAAAGGGAGCAGGAACGGGAGCAGGAACGGGAGCGGGGGCTTCGAAATCGGTGAATGGGATGGAATGAAAAGAAAAAAAAAAAGGGGGAGATTTTGGTGGAATCATCGGCGAGTTTCGAGTTTCGAGATTCCGAGTTTGGATTTTTTTTCCCGTCGTACGTTACGTTTTTCGACACACCCCTGGGCTGGCTGGGCGAGTGGGCGGATGGGATGATGAAGATATCTGAGGAAGGGGGAATGGGGGGGGGCGGAAATGGGGGAAAAGGGAATATCAATGAAAACAGGAGGGGGGGGAGGGTATCTAATTAAAACTCTTATTACCCATCTTTCATTTTTTCTTCAAGTAACGTACGTCAGAAAGAAAAAAAAGGTTTATGTTTTGGTAAAGGGTTGGCGAGTGAGAATGGAGTAGTTGAGAGAGAGAGAGGGAGGGGGAAGAAACGAGCTGTGAATCGCCCTCTCCTCCCCCTCCCCTTTGTCTCCTTTTTTTAGTTTGCAGAAGGGCAACGACGAGAACGATACGTAATGGGCGCGCGCCGGGCGAACGAAGGGGTCAGAGAGGGGGAGGGAGAGAGAAAAGGCAAGACAGGACAGAGCGGAGAGCGGAGAGCGAGCGAAAAAAGTAAGTCGGGGGAATGGTGGGGCGGGAATGGGTAACAGGCAAAGGTAAGGTTGGAGTGGTAGAATGGGAGGAATGATTTTGGACAGACGCGATGGAAGAATGATTGGAGGTTTGGGGCATGAAGCAGAAAGGACGACGACGATGATCACTCAGGGCATTAGAGGGAGCGAGCGAGGTACGGCCCCCCCCCCGGGCCCAAGCGACCCCCCCCCCCCCGGCCGCCTTCATCGTCGTTTCCTCCCACGTTCCTCCCAAATCTTATCATCCTCATCGACCACCACCTCCCGTTCTTGCCCTTGTCCTCCTCTCACCTCCATCATCGTCATCATCCCCATCCCCATCTCCTGCTTCTGCTTCTGCTTCTTCTTCATCTTCTTCTTATCGCCACTCCTCCTTTCGAACGATCTCCCTCTCCCAACACCAGGAGCATCAGCATCTCCCGCTCCCGCTCCCGTTCCCACTCCACCACCACTTCGAACTTCCCTCTTCAAAGACGTATCCAATGATAAATAACGTCCTCCCGCCGCTGCTACGGTAGACGACAACGACTTGTGATTATTGCTGCCGTTGTTGTTGTTGTTATTGTTATACCAAGGATACGAGTACTCTCCACGGCATGAAAACGACTCGGACGAACACGAAGGGCTGGACGACGACGACGAACTACTACTGCCACAAGACTGAGAAGATTGGGATCGAGTTCCAACGCCATCGACGTAAGACATTCCATCCATCTCCAAATCAGCATCATAGAAGAAATCGAGTATGTCGTCGTCGTCGTCGTGATCGTCATCATCCGACGAAGCGACAGTGCTATCATCCGAAGAGTCAGATGAGGACGTCGAAGACGTAGAGGAAAAGGAAGCGCTAGGTGGTGGAGGTGACAAGGAGAACGATGAAGGAATGGAGAAAGAAGATGGAGAATCATCATCATCATCGTCGTTCGACTCGGACTCCGACTCGGAAGGGTCTGAGTCTGAGTCGCCAAAGTCGAGTTGGGAACCGTATGAAATGCGAGGTGGGATACGAATAGGAGCTGCACCTCCTGCAGTGGCGGCCAATGCTGCCATACCTGCTGTACGACCAAGTAACACACCTCCAAGCATTCCAGCTGCCGTCATCCTCATCGGCGGCGGCGGCGGCGGCGGCGGCGGCACGCCAGGTGCTGCTGGACCAGCACCGAATCCGAATCCAAATCCGAACCCGAATCCTGTTGTTGCTGCTGCTGCTGTTGTCGGGACCTTGTTGTTATCATCACCAGGCGCCGCAGAAGAAAGGGAAGGTGAGAATGCATAAGGTGGTCGTTCATTTTTGTTGTTGTTGATATCGTTGATATCGTTGATGTTACTATTTGATTTTAGGTGGTCGTGGTCATGGTCTTCCTCCTCTTGTTGTTGTTGTTGTTGTTGTCGTTGTTGTTGTTGGGCCTTCGATGATGGTAGACGAGCGAGGGAAAGACTTGATGGAGATGGAGATATGGAAGTTGAAGGAGCTGCTTTGAGATCGAAGAACGACGGTCGTACTAGTGTAAATAAAAAGGAAGTCAGTTTTTTACTCGTATCAATTCCTTCATTGCGCCCGCGCAGAGAGAGAGAGAGGGATGGGAAACATCGACGACGAAAAAAAAAAAAAAACTCACCAATACCATGAAATCCCTTACTATTAATGTTTCTTCCCTTTCGGCCACCGAACTTTAATTTACCATTCCTCCCAACCTCCTCCACTCCAGCGGATCCACGCCACCTGTTGCCGTTGATAGTAGTGGTGACACCACAACCGACGACTAAACCCATCGCGGCGGACGACTTGTTCAACAATGGATGAGGTTCGAATTTGGGCACGCTATACATGAACTCCTCCACCTTTTCCATTTCCACATTATGGTGAGTGGGTGGTGGTGGGTAAGTGGTGGTGGTAGTGGTGGTGGTGGTGGTGGCGGTGGCAGTGGCGGTGGCGGTGGCGACGGTGGTGGCGGTGGTATTGGCAACGAGGAGGCTGGTGGACTTTGTCGGGGGAGACATGTAGAACAACAGGTCGTCTTGTTGTTGATAGCTATTCTCGTCCATTCCGACTGGCGATGCAGCAGTTGGTGCTACTTTTGCGACTACAGATGAAGGAGAAGTGGTAGGAGTGGTGGAACGGTAGTTGTAGAAGCAAGACATTGTAAGCGCCAGACACTCTAAGCTGGGTTGGCGTTGGTATGGTGGTGTATGATGATGAAGATGATGATTGGATTGGTATTCGTTTTCCTTTTCGTTCGTTCGTTCGTTGGATGGGCTACAAGAGGATGGATTGTTGTTGTTGCCACTGCTTCTGCTACTGTTGGTGGTGGTGGTGGTGGTTCGTTTCTACGTGCACTGCAACGTTGCTTTGAGGTGTGTGTGGTGAGAGTGGCGATGAGTAGAGAGTTGGGATCGACGCGAACGAGGAGGAAGGAGAGAGTTACAAGGCAGGGTTAAAGGGAATGGAAGGAGGAAGCTAAGCTAGCCGGGGCTGATTTTATACTAGTGGACTTGTGAAGCTCTTTGGTTAGCTAGTTGTGGTGATATATGAGTTTCTATATGTATTGAGTCGGGAGTTGAGACTTGAAGGAATGAGTTGAAAGTACGGGTTTGGATGGATTGTTGGTCCCAAGTTGGGTTGGGTTGGGGGGGGGAAAAATATATATATAATATTCTTCTCCTCGGAAGTGGATATGAGTAGGTTAGGTGTGAGAAGGAGAAGTGAAAAAAAAAAAAAATGAGGAGATGGACGTCCGATCCAATTCGTTTGGGGGTTATCAAGCGATAGAAGCTGAAGCAAGACGGACACGTGGGGGCGCTGTAGGGGGTGTTGTTGTGCGTGTGTGTATGCGTTGCGTTGCGTTGCGTTGCGTATGCGTATGCGTTGATGCGTTGGCGGGAAGGGGAGGAGGGATGCGGTGAGTTTGTCGAGGTTGTGGAGAGGAAAGTGTGTTTTAACGCTTGGCCTTTATGTTTTTTTTTGTTTGTTGAACACACGCTTCCGCCGGCGGAGTCACTACAAAATGTACAATACAAATGTGGAAATTGGATAAATTGGTATTATCATATTTTCTTTAAATAAACTCTCGGTGTGGGAAGAAAGGGCAAAAAAGGGAAGAAAATACATACTAAAGATTATTTGAATTGGACACTTCAGTAACCATCATTCAATCTATCCGAAAATGGGTATGGACCCTTCTCTTCGTCCTTTTTTTTTCATTTCCCAATTTCCATATATAGGGTGAATTACAGCCCTTGTCCAACCCCCCCCCAACTCCCTCTTTCCGCGGAAAGGCAATTACATATGTAGGAGCACTAACCCCTACTACTCAACCCTTTTCGAGTACTTACTTGTGTGTGTGTTTGTATGTGTGGTCTGTGTTATGGAATACATATATGTCAAGGGGTGTCAGTTGGCAAATGCTACCACCCGGTACTGGAATGTATCGGATTCTTTCCGTCGCAGAAAGGAAACGGAAAGAGGAAAAAGAAATTAAGCGGGAGTGTTATTGCGCAATCTCCAGCGGGTCAAGCGACGGTGACCCCCAAATTCGAATCACGGGAGTGTCCGGTTGATGGCAAGTCAGTGACAGAACATTGGCGGCGGTGCTTTTATGTACAGTAAGTGCAACTGGCTGTTCCATCGCCATAAATGGGTTAAATATGCAAAAAAAAAATTAAGTTACATGAAAAGGGCCTTTCCGCGTCTGTGTGTTAAGCAGTTCTGTTGCTGTGTATGCATTGTATGCGCGTGTATCCCAAACCACGCGGGTGAACCGTAACCACGTATTGCAATTACACACATACAAACACCCTCAAGGTAAATTCTAATGTACCCGTCACGTCCCAGACAAAGAAAGACCAGAATGCAAATTGTAATATTGGGGGTGGCCGCGATGTATTGGATATATGAAGTGGGCGCGGGGACGCGCAGCTCTCACTCATGCTGCGCGTATGTAACCCACCCTTCTTTCCTTCCTTCCACGACTCACAAGCGTGGATGGATCGGGAAACTAGAACGTGGAGAGATGTGGAAGTGGAGGGGGGGAGGGGGCCCGAGCGATTGGGATGTGACAGAATGGGAATATAGAAACGGACGCGTATATACGCGAAATAGTGTACGCGCGTATATAATATCCCGCGCGCGCGTGGGGATGGGGAGGTGCCAAGGGCAACATTAAAAATTTAAGGGTTTTTTTTTTATTGGAGGGGGGGGGGTTGGGGGAGAGTAACGTAAACGATGGCAAGACCGATCAATGATATATAATCATCAATCATCTCTCCGGTTCCACTTCTAATCTGGCGTCGGAGTTCCCGTTGGTCATCTCCTGTGGACTATTCTTGCCGTCTCGTCCATCCGTGCAATCGTAATATATATATATCGATTGTATAATTAAATAAGCGCTCATCCAACTCCCCAAATTCCTGGTTCGCCTGAAGGGGTTTGTTGTCCTTGTGTTTGTCGTTTTCTGGTTTCGCAGTCATGTATATAAAAGGAAACTCTTGTATGTTTCGATCTTTGTTTTTTTTTTTCTTTCTTGGCGCAGCCGGTGATGATCTTCCAGATCTTTCAACAATTCGGGTTGGTGTGTGATATACATTGTACGTCTTTTTTTCTTTTTCCTACCACCGTTTGTTCGGACCGATCGATGGGTTTTTCTCTTGTTTGTGGGGTCACAAGGTTCGCTATATATACCGCCGCAAGTGCCGCAAGTTGACGCGGTAGTCTTACGACAGGAAAGATGGCATTGTCGGGCCCCGTTAGAGATATATATATATATATATATATCTATTAACGTGGTCCCGCCTCCCCGTTCGTCCGTTTTGATGGGCGGCCCTCCAAGCAGCAATTATGTAGTACTTATTTTTCTGTGGACAATTTTCGCAGAACGGCCGGACGTTTTCTTCACATGATGAGGATGACCGCAGACCGAAACACGGAACCGCTTTTTTTTTGTTGTCAATCTCTCTGAAAAAGGTATGTACTACGTTGTTGCATGTATGTAGCCGTTGATGATGATGATCTAGATCTCTTTCCAGGTACTGATTAAACTATATGTAATTATGGGGGAGGGAGTGAGAGTGAGAGCCAATTTAGCTGCGCTTGTACCCGCCAACGGGCAACGCGTACACCTGTGTGCCCACGCAACCCAATTATTTTTGAAAACAACAATTACATATACACGTTACCAACTACCCTCAAAACACAAACGTTTTACGCGTAAGCGCGTGAAAAACAAGCGCTGGCAACCCATGTATACAACTGTATCAATCAAAAAAAAAAACGGGTGTGCTTTTTTTGTTACTTGGGCAGCGGCTGAGCTTGAAACTAGGGTGAAGATCCTTGCCAACTAAAGAAAAAGAGTGCTGTTATTTTTATGTAGCGCGCCGGATCTCCCTCACACCCTTCACCCTCCCCCTGCCCTGCCACGTTTGCACATGGTGTAACTGTTACTACAGCTACAGTGACCCACGTACCACCCTTTTTTGATGCATGTGATATTATGATTAGATGAGAACATGATGTCAGCAAACTTCTTGGGGGGTGTCGGTGACGTAGCCCGTAAAGGAAAAATCGCCGCAAGGGGGGGGGGGAAGGGGAAGGGGAAGGGGAGGGGTTGATGCGATGGGGCTGGGAGAGTTTGGGTTAATAATAATAGGTAATGAAAACAAAAAGGGGGGGGGGAGGGGAAACAAAAATGGGGTTGGGGTGTCATGGCACGTTTTGTCAGTTGTCGTTTGTTGTACATGATGAGTCCGTTGTGTGACACATTATGCACTTATGATTATTGATTAACCCCCATGTTTTTGTTAAATTTTTTTTTTTTTTTTGGGGGGGGGGGAGGGGCCAAAGCTGGAGCCGGTAAAAGGGGGAAGAAGGAAAGAAGGTGGAACAAGTCAACCTGTTAACCAGTATTGCACGCACGCACACAGTACGTCGAGGTACTATTACATACCAGCCAGGCAATATGTTAGTTGACATGCAACGCGGTTTCGCCCTAACCCTCCCGCCGATCAAGCTTCGAAAAAAAAAAACTATTCAGTCGTTCTTATCTACGCCTATTCACCTTTGTCCGTCGTCCCTCCCCCCTCTCTCTCTCTTTCTTCCGCTAGTGTTCGTGCATAGTTCAAGCTAGAAGAACTCTTTCATATGGTACATACATAACACGGAGGCCGGGACCGGGACCGGGGCCGGGAAAGGGACGTTTTATCTCTGTTCAACGGAGGATCGATATATCGACATACAAATTGTCGAGCCCTTACTTAGTACGGAGTCATGATACCGATCCCCGGTGCTTCGGGCTGGCGCCACAAACTTCGGAATTAATGTTACTTAAACAAAGGTGAGACCAGGCGGGGGGCTGCTGAGTAAAACAACATAAACTGATTACAATTCCCCTGGACGTGTTTGATCCGGTGTCACCGCGCGTATATAAATATATGTGTGTATGTCCGTAACTTGACTTCGAAGAATCCGAAGTACAAACAAAGGATCGCGTCGGTCACGGCTGCTTGCTTACACTCGAAAGCAAGAAGCGTGGGGATCGCCGCCTGGGCACACAGTCATCAATGTACACGCTAGGACTAGCTTAGCTCCGAGGAGTCAGAGAAGAATATCATTACATAGTTCGTTTGAGAAAAATGTGTTGATGAACTTGATGATGGAGAAGGTGTGTTTGTCAGCCCAATTTATTAATGATGTTCGAAGCAAGCGAGGCTAGCCTCCCTGATCTATGAGCGAAGTCGATATACATAGATCCAACCACCATTATGCAGAAAAAAAAAGAAAATAATAATAATCCGAATCATAACTAGCGATGACCTAACGAGCTAGTAACGGTAAAGCTCCGTGAGAGCCCTAGCAGCTAGTTATTGCTACTAGTATCTCCCTCATACGGCTACGCAATCAATTTTCAAGTAACATGCATGCGTGTGTCCACTCTGTTTGTACATATGTAGCCCGGGCAACCTGATCCATGCATCGCACGCATGCATTTGACGCATGCAAGCTAGGGAAGCAAAGCTACGCAACGAACATGTGTAGGGCGCTCGCGTGCCCATGCAACCCGGATGTCCATGTAAAAAAAAAAAAAAACGTCTATTTCGTATAACACCCTGTTGATCATCCGTGACACCTTTTCCCATTCGAGTATGTAAGCCCCAATGCTGCAAGGCCACACCTTCCAATTTCCGACAATTGCACAAGAACATCCCATTCCGAATGAGGGAAGGAAGGAAGGGAAAACGAGGGTGCAGCTCCGAGGCTAAAATCTCACTACAGCACGAATCTTCACTAGATTAGATGATGGGAATATATGATCATACTGTAAGAGGTAATAAGTAATTTCATCAATCCACACCAAAAACGAGGGAGGGAGATGATCAGGACCCCCCTCAATATCCGGAGTGAGTCCTCACTCTGCACGTCCCCCCCACGGGTACGGATATCAGTACTGCAACTCTAGCAGCTACTAACCAAGCCAGCCAGCTGGCAGCCAGACTAGCAATGGCACACAAGAATATTAACGAGCTTCTATATGTGTATATATGATCGTGTGATCGACTAAGTATCAGTACCCGTAAAACTGGCATGAATTGCAAAACATGCATGGCCACGTCCATCATATATGTACACACACACACAACAAGTATATATCTCGCGTGTGACATGCCACCTGCGTTTTTGGGTTACGCGTGGTAGCTACTACCCTACTACTACCGCAGTATAGCTATGGAGTCATGCGCACAACAAGAACGGGTCTTGTGGTGTGGAAGCGCGATATTATCGCAGTGCTGCTATAGCCAGAGACAAAGAAGGAACCAAAGAGATGATAGCTTTGCCAAAGCCAGATACGATTATAATCAGGCTACCAGCGCTAGGGAGTAGGAGATCATCGTGGCGTGAGAGAGTATGTATGACACGTACTAGCCCAAACTGGGGGTAGATGGATACGATATATATATATATATATATATGATGGATCAAGCGTTGCCTATGTATATCACGCATTATGCATCATGGTTTGTGCATGCATGGCAAGGTGTTTGCACTAGTCGGGTTCAGGCGCAAATGGTGATACGAAGCCAAAGTGCATGTAATATGGTTACGGTCAACAGACTCCCGTTGACGTTCGAGCCAGTCCAGTACTTACTAGCTTTAGCCTCTTCCAGTAAGAATAGTATATAGTAACTTCCTACTTATGTGCATTCACTCGCGCGCAAACACAGGCACAACCTGAGCCCGAGAGATATGATGGATGGAGACACCGATGCACCATGTGCTCAATGTGTTACTAGTACTGCTATAGCCAGGACCCCATGACATCGATAGGCGATCGATCCGCCACGCGCGTAGAAGCTAGAAGGGAAGAAAAGAAAGAGCTTACTTAACGGGCATTGCCGACGGCGAAAAAAAAAGGTCAGATTAGATTAAAAAAAGCATCCCAGCACAACGTGTCAAACGCACGGACAGCCTTTCTAGCGGGGTTGGAAAGGGAAAAGGTCACACGGAGATGGATGTGCTGTGATTGTTATTGAAAAAAACTAGCGTTAAATTTTAAAATAAAAGAATTAGGGATTTACTAATATGATTGTGATACTGGATCACTTGCACAACCTGCGGACTCAAATCCCACACAATCACCGCGTCGAGTTGCTTCTGGCTCTAACATGTACATAGAGAGAAACTGGAAGGGTTGGGGGAACAGATAAGCACAAAATGCCCGCGTCGGCGCAACCCGAATGCATTTTACGAGCAAAAGACGGAAGTCTCCGTGCCTGGGCCCTGCCCGATAAATCCCTGTTGAACATGTTGACATGACCGACAAGGCCTTCACACTGATCAGTGTCCTGACGATCACTATGTCCTCAGCCCCGTCCCTCACTATAACCTTTTCTGGGAGGCACGGAAACTATTCACTCACTCGTGCATCAACAAACTGATCACTGTTCGCCCGCGAATCTCAATGCGCACAAGGCCGCCAAGATTGCCTTCTAAGTCATATATGCAGTATGTAGCTGTTTGTGTGTATATAACTTATCGCTGATCACCGCGGTCGAACCGGAGTCGGCGTCGGAACTCGATCAAGGAACGAGGAAACGCAAGTACAACACCCCCATCCTCATCCCCAAGAACATTCCAAACTTCGATTTCCATTTTGGAACAACGATCGAAAGGGAGGCAAACTCCGAACCCTAAGGTACGTTATGATTGCACTTTGATGCGGGGTGTGGGTGTGTGCACCCAGTTATGTAGTTACTGAGACATGACTAATTCTAGTCATTCCGATGTTGCCCCAACCCTGGCATTTTTTTTTTTGCTCCTGGGCAAATGACCTCTGGCCGATCTCCCTCGCTTGTGCAAGTGTACCTCGCTTAGCTAGCGTTTACAAATGTGCAATTCATCTATTCCCCAAATCACATCCTATATACAAATTTTCCTCGAACTATGACCAATCATCAAAGGTGCATATTTTCCGGAGATATGTTATTGTTATTGTCAATGCGCACAGCAGGAGGAGGGACAAGCTTTCCACCGACTGACGCGACTGCCCCCCCACAACCACAACCACCTTTTCGTACTAAGTAATCGAAAAGACTCATCATTTGGCAATTTGTAATTAATGTGTATGTAATCGTTCTTTGGGGGGAGAGTTGAAATTCTTGTGGTCTATGCAAATATAGGGCGCCCATATTCCTTTCTTTATGTAGTGTTGCTGTGGGGGGGGCGAGAGTTTTGAGCCAAAGAACCGCGCGTCTAGCGCTAGCTACAGTGGCCGGGCTAGCTGTGTAGGTAACAAACACGGGTCGAGCTGCCGCGCTGCGCCGCGGTGGCTGCGCGCACGTATATAACTACTTGCACGTTTGGCGTTGTAGTGGGCGAGTCATACGTCAGAGCGCGTGCGTACCGGTTATTATGAGTCGAGGACACCGGTTACTGGCCCCCCTGCCCCGTTGGTTTTATGCACCAAATCGAGTTACTACCAGAACAGGTTTGCACTTAGCGACATCACCATACCATATCGAATGTACAAGCGCATTATACGAGCTCCATATTGTACATAGCTTCGGATCGATTACTAGTACTGGCGATATTACTACCCATGCGAAGGGACAATTTGGGTACCTACAATGAAATGATATGACTGCATGTAATAGATATACATGAACGAGTTTTGTAACTCGGCCTTACTGTGCGCAAATTAAAATGCAACACATTCCAACGTGGCAAGTCTGTGTACTCACTGATCGTTCTTCCACTCTACGCCGTAACGACTGTGAGTACAAGCTCGGTCGTCGCGTTGTATATATAAAGATTTCCTAATGCGTAACAACCCGCATAGGGCTGCTCGGAGTTGATCCAGAACGGAACTCGGCTGGTGTGGTAATTCGATCCCCCGAACGCCGCCGCTTCGATATCGGACTCGGAATTCTCGTAATCACGAGGGCAAAGTACTTATCTTTGATATGTATAATGTAATTATTCATCTTCACTGATAATCGTTCATATACCGGCGATTTGATCCACAATTCAAGGCAAACATAAAATACACCGTTGTCCTCCGGTCTCTTCATTACAAGATCTTGCATTTTATAGGTACACGTACGGACTGTGCCGCAGCGTATATTATTGCCTTGTCGTTGAGCCGGGGATTGGAGGTTATCCCAATAACTCTCTTCTTGATGAACAGATATAAAATTAATTTTTCGCAGTCGGTTGAGGCATATATATCCCGCAATCCGGTTGGATTGGTGCAAGATGGATCTACCACAGCCCCATAAGTGATATGGGAAAACTTTATCGTAACAGCATAACAACACTCATCCGTAATGGCGGTACACAATAGTATTCGCAAAAGTTCGCATGGCACCCACAACCCACACACGCCACGGATAGGGAGGACCCAATGTTCCGAAGGGATTCGCCAAAGTACTTACCATATTCGATGTCCCCAATCTCATATAAACTTCCACTCGTTGGTGTTCCCGGAACTTGCAATTTTTGTGAACCCTCATCGATCACTCGGCCTGTGCGCCATTGATATTATCACATCATCAGCGAGAGGATTTTTTTTTTATAAATAAAAAATAAGTTGCAAAAAAAGCAAAGACAGAAAAAAAAGAGCCTCCCAAAGAGTCTAGGCTTGGTCGCATAGCCCAGTTCAGAATCAGAACGTCAATGTCCCCATTATTCGCTCGAATGCGAGTGAGTTGCGCACATCAAATGGAGATGACTTCCCATATTCCATTGCGCAATCCGCGGTTGTGCTTATGTATTGCAACTAAGAGATGGGTAACATGCCCAAATTCGAGTCCCCTGGGAGGGGAGGGGCGTCAGGGAGATCAACGGAAGGAACTGGCCGTTGTATATGGGTACAACAATTTGCAACACGGTTTATGCGCTACAAAATTTCAGTCAGGAGAGGGCACTTCCAGGGTCTGGGTCTGGCGCCAATATGATATGGAGTACTGTTGGGAAAGCATGCCCTGAATAGCAGTTGAGTAGTGGCAGGCACACACGCACGGAGGGGTTGTGCGAACGAGTATAGTACTTATAAAACCGCACAAGCCACGATCAGTCCGAGCAATTTAGGGTCCAGAAAGCAGTTTTCATCACAAACCATCATGGGCGCTTGTTCGCAGGTCAGGATTCGTGCAACTTTACGTCCCGTCGGCAAGGGTCCGGCCCGAGGGGATCAGGACTTGGTCCCCCCCTAGAATTTACGCATTGGATTTTTGGATTTGGGCAACATTGCATTCGCAACGAGTACCTATCCACACCAGTACAATGAACAGCCCAGGCGACGAACGTGCGTTAGCAAGCTTATCTAGTTTCCGCCCTGACCGTTCCCTATCAGACCAATTCCAGCCTTGGGGAGTCCTGATACCAGTTGGCAGTCAGCTGACATAATGGAGCAGTACTGCTTGGCACATGTGGGCGATCGTCGAATATGATTTTCTGATTGCTTTGGAAACTGAGGAACGTTACTGTATCATGCCTTTAGGGCGGATCGGAACACAAAGTCCACAATGTGTACCTGCGCAAAAACTTCCCCGATGGCAAGCTACCGTATAGCGAAATCGACATGATGGTTAACTGATGAGCACTCGTACGTACGGTGCGGTGCGAGCGTCGTATATAGCAGCGATCAAAGTGTTAGTTATGTCATGTACCGTGTCATCAGGAGTAGTTTTCTACCGCTGAGTGCCCAATCACTCATTGATTAAAGCCCCAGGATATTAATGCATGCGTGCAGGGGACCATCCGGCGTTGTACAGAATTGAAAAGCTTTAAAGCTACTATAGTATAACAAGTGGGCGTCTTTAGTTCCTGTTTGCCACGCCGCGTGAAACGGGACACCTTGGACAACCACTATGTGGGCCTTTATAGGGGGGACCTCAGGACGTTTGCATGGGGCCTAAAAGGCCTTTTTCACTATAAACGTCCTAGGACATCCTGGCCATTCAGTTTCATTCATTTGTTGCAAACGTCCTCAGATGTCCTAATTCAGTTTGATTCAATGGTTGCAAATTGTCCCGGAATGCCATACTCGTCCATCCCATGGTCTGTGCACATGCTGACCACTGTCTAGAGGGATGTCAACACTGTTTCCCACGGTCTGAACACACTTTACATAGTTGAATAGCCTTTGAATAGCTTCCAGAATATATATTTTGAGACTGAATTGACCAATAAATTATTGAGAAAAACGCAAAATACTTTTTTGGACACGAGTCTTTTGATGGTGGCTGTCCAACTTATTTAATGTCTGTGCACAATGCTGGTCACTGTCTGAAGGGGTGTCAGCACTGTTTCCCACGGCCCCAACACACTTTACACAGATAGATAGCCCCTTTGAATAGCTTCCAGAATATATATTTTGAGACTGAATTGACCAATAAATTATCGAGAAAACACAAAATACTTTTTTGGACGCGAGTCTTTGGGTTAGTGTGGCTGTCCAACTCAATGTCTGTGCACAATGCTGGCCACTGTCTGAAGGGGTGTCAACACTGTTTCCCACGTCCCCAACACACTTTACGCAGATGGATAGCCCCTTTGAATAGCTTCCAGAATATATATTTTGAGACTGAATTGACCAATAAATCATCGAGAAAAACGCAAAATACTTTTTTGGACGCGAGTCTTTTGGGTTAGTGTGGCTGTCCACCTCATGTCTGTGCACAGTGCTGGTCATTGTCCGGAGGGGTGTCCAGACTGTTTCCCACGGTGTCAACACACTTTGCGTAGTTGGATAGCCCCTTCAAATAGCTTCCAGAATATATAATTTGAGACTAAATTGACAAGCAAGTTATTGAGAAAAATGCAAAATACTTTTTTGGACACGAGTCTTTGGGAT